CCAGCAAAAATGTTCTTTCCGTGTACTACCGAATACTACGGATCAAAATATTGCTCAACTAAAAAATGAACTCGAATCCTACAATTATCACGTTATTGAAACAACTATGTCTTGTAATGGAGTTAAAATTGAATAATATGTTAGGTTTCTTTATTTAATAGAAAAATTATGAAATGCGTATAATATTACAATGTGAATTAACTTTTATGTTTATGTTTAAATTTATATATATAAACATAATATATAATAAATGTATCAATTATATAAATATAATTAATTGTATTTTTTTATTTATACTCTTTTATGTAATAAGTTATATTTCATTTGTCATATTGTTTTATTTTTATTTAATACGTTAATAACGTAATATTCTGTACGTACAGAAATAAAATAATGTATCAATATATCTTTTTTCAGTATAATTACGTATTACTATTCAGTATAATTAAATTTTTCTAAACACATGCATTATTATTGTACGAATATGATAAAATAAATCTGTAAAAGCAATATATTTTTACATGGAACATTTTTACATATAATTTATTGATTTTTGTATCAACAAGTTAATCTTATTGTGACAACTTAGAAAGCTATTACAGTTCATAAAAAACTTGAAAGATGTTTATTCATTAGAAAACTTATTAAACATGTATTCTAGAAACATATATTTCAAACTTTATTATCAAAAAATTAATACATAATAAATACAAGTAATTTGCGAAAATGAAGTTTTAATATACATAATATATATAATTAATGTATTAAGAGATGAGATAATTTTTATCTATATATTTATACTGAGGATTGCTATTTTACATATTTATATATTTTTTGTACATCAAGACGAATATGACAGTATTATTTCATTTTAAAATGATTCTCAATTATTATCCAAAAATAAAAAAAATATTGGTAAAATATTTTCCGATGCAAAATAAAATTAAAAAATAAAAAATAAAAAATAAAAAATAAAATAAAAAAATAAAATTAAATAATTTTTTTGAATAATAATGAAGAAATGGACATCAATAAATTATAACGAATAAAGTCTAATTTATTTGTTAATTTAATAATTTCTTCGTCAAA